AAAACACAAATTTTGAATTTGCATTGAATGCCCAAGCAAAATGAGCCTTATGGAGGGTGCTCTCGCTGCATAGACTTGGTTCTAAGTCTTGGGTTCAAAACTTACGAACTGTGTTTTTCATTCTGCCTCCCTTCCCCGGCTTCCTTCAAGATGACAAGCAGTCCAGAGAAGACTGGTAAGCACTCTGTACAAGAACGTAAGATAAAAATATGTTCACAAAGATGTGCGGCCAGCAAGTGGATGTGTCACAGCAGCTAAGGCTTTCATTAAAAGTATCCATTGCTGACCTCTTCATCTTGTTCCTATTACTGACAAGTTTGTTGGTTTGGGTTTTTTTTTAATCAGTTTGTCAGATGACATGAAAAAGGAGTTTTTCCTTAACTGTTCAGAAAGAATTCCTTGAAGTCATCAGCGGTCTTCTCATTTTCTAAGTTTGATCTTGCTAATTTCAATCACATGTCCCACTTCCCTTGTTATTCAGGGATTCTGGCTCATTGCAGGTCATCATTCCACAGGCAACACCCGTTGTCTATATTGTACTCTCCAGCCAAGATACAGCAGACGTTTCCTTTAGAAAAGAAGTAAGCAAAGAATGTGGCACAGGGAAAATGATACTTAACTTTGACTTAGGCACCAAGTGCTTAAACATTGTGAAGAATCTTGTATTTTTAACGTTACTAGGAAGGAAGGGGTATCATATTTAGAAACCAGTTCCCAGCTCACACATCTATGTTAATTTGATTCATTTTGAAATAAAAGCAGATGAAAATCTGAGTCTCTGGAGATTTAAATCTTGTCAGTCCGAAAGAAAGCTAAATTGTTTTCATGGGTCAGCAGACAGGCTGTTCTCACCATTCATTCATTCATCTACTGCTGAAGTAATGTGCTACTTCAGTTCCAAGATTAAACAACTGGTGGTGATAACTTGTTGTCAGGGTTCGTGCCAGTATGTCAAGCTTTGTGTAGAACACGGGAAAACTTGTAATCGAAATTGAGATAGGTGAGCCAGTGTTCAACAGGCTGCAAATACGGGTAAACAAATCCGTAAAAAAACGGGGATTGCAGTTTCCAAAACAAGTGTCCTAATCTGATATTTAGTCACCTCGACAAGTAGTGACACTTTCCAAAATGCTCCATAATAAGCATTTATTTTGCAGTCGATGGGAACTGCAGGTGCCTGGCACTTAAGCTTTTGCTGTTTAATTATAAGCCTCTGATTTAATTCCTGTTTTGAAATCTCGGGACCTGAATGACCTGGATGATGGACTAATGCAAGAGCATTACCACTGTACTTGGATACCGAGTAGCAAATTTGAAATGTCTAATAGAAATTCATTGGGTTTTTAGACGTGTCTTTTGTTAGTGGCTTAGGAGAAAGGACAAGATGGTTACTTGTCACACAAAGAAGGGAAAAGTTCTCAGCACGGAGAGCAAAGGAAGTAAGGCAGAAGGAAAAAAGCAAGAGAAGGATATTTGGGCAAAGTAGCGTGGAAAAAAGTATGACCGGTGGAAGGAATGGTAGTGGTAAATGTACACAGAGGCTGCATTGTATAGGAGGCTGGGAACGCTGGACCTGGTACAGAAGCCAGTGAGAATATTCAAAGTCTGTACTGATGGAGTCGGTCATTTATTTCTCTACAAATGCTCTGGAAATAAATTGAATTATGTTGTTCTTAAATTGAAGTCAAGAACAACGTGTGTATTGTTATACACTTTGTGGTTTTTTTCCTGTATTGTACGTTGAAGAGGGGGAAAAGAAATAGGTGATTGGTCATAAGGTCTGCCCATTCTGTTAAAATCTAGAGCCCTGGAAAACAAGCTGGCAGGAGAGCAAGTTATTCTCCTTAAAATCTGGAATTAGGTATGCCAAGCGTTTTATTTTATATTTACTCATATTGTAGAGGACTTCTCTCGGCATAACACACAATTTACTCAGCTTGCATCTTGCTGATTTCTATGTATTTTTGTAATGAAAGTTTGTGCTGTCACATATTTGTCAGCAAGCGGAAGCAACAACTTCTGTTTCTCTTGACCAGGCTAAATGGAGTTTGTTGTATTTTTTTTTTCAGTATACATGACTAGAGCAATCCTGCCAGGCTCCAGATCACTTTCATTCTTTGGAATTCCTGCCTTTGCTTATATTTACGTATCATCAAAGTGAAACTGCCATGCTGCCAGCATATCATTTTCTCTCACCACAGCCAGGGTCTTGCCATTACAGAGTGTTAGAAAAAGCCCCCTTACCAGTGCTGCTTTGTCACTGTGGGTGGCAAGGGGGAAACAGATTTCACTGAGTAATTATGCAGGGAGTGGATATTTGGGAGAGATCAGTTTGCTTATAAAACTGGCTTAGAGAAATACAGTAACCATGTAACGTTAGTGCCATTTTTTACCCAGATCTGCACATTGAAACACACGAGTGTGTTGTGCTTTATTAATTTTGTTAAAGCAATTTATGGAGTCAATAAATCTTGAGGGAAGAAATGTTGCAAACTTGCTTCTGTTGGAGACAGCTGACTTGGCTGAGTGTTTTATGGAATAGTTCCATCAGTTACTTTTTACTAGATAAGGACGTTACCCTGGTGTCATAGCTATTTTGCAAGCCTGTAATGGCCTTCTATGACCCTGAAATTTCTCCTGCCGTTTCAGCAGGTGAGGATGTTTTTGTTCCTTTTCCCAAGACTGCAATGTGGTGCTGCTAGCACTAGCGGCTGCTGTATTTTGCCCTAGGAACAGCTATGTTTCACTTGTGGATGGGCTAGACTTTTTAAAGAGAATACGTGCGAATTAAGGCATTAATCCTACCAGCATGGTAAATTACTCGAAGTTTTTCTGCCTTTCATTTTTCTTGAAGGAACTGAGACATGAACAAGCTTCTGGCAAGTACCAACCTCATCAAACAAGCAAAGTCTTCCAAGTCCAAACAGGTAAAACATAAAAAGGTGACTTTTCCAGGTATAGAATGGGGAAGAAAAGGTGAAATATTATTTATTTTACGAAGACTTTGCAGGCTTGTTGTTCTGAAGGCCTTTGCTATGCTATAATATGTGCTCCCCATACGAGAAGCAGGAGAATGTGTATACATATATGTGTATATGTTTGTCAATCCCAGACAGCTGGAACCCATCAAAGCTGCTTGTGTGTGTATCCTCTTGTGTGTGCCTAATTAGTGCAAATACTTCCTTAGGTATTGGATTCACTGACATGTGCTAGGCGAGGGGAATCCGGACTGCTAATATTTAATATTTCAGACCTCCAGACCCAAGATGCAAAGCTTGAAAAGGATAAGAAGGGAAGTGTTTGGAAGCAGTCTCAACCTATGCTTAAAACTAGAAGACTGAAAAGAAGTACCTCATCCTGGAGAGGTGATGCAGTGTTTGGAGAGGGATGGAAGATGATGTGATAGATTGAGTGAATTTTTCTCTCTCGGGCTGACATAGCGGATCTGGTTGGCATCCACATATGCCCTGCAATACAGAAAAGATTCTTAAGGGCAGTTGCTCGTGTAAAGGGAGTATGGAAGTGGGATTCCTTTGCCTTCTTAGTTTTGCTTTTTTTGTCAGTTTTTCTCCACAGATTCTGTCCCTAAGCCAGTAAGGTCCCTTCCCCCGTTAAAACCTTTAGCCTTCCTGAGAAGAGTGGGTGAGAGGACTTTACTCCTTTCTCCGGAAGCAGGTCCTCTAAAAGAGTTGAAACAACTTCCGTTGTGTTGAACTATTGACAAGTACCGCTTCCAAACCTTAGTGCTTTGTATATATTTTTAGTCTCATGATGATGACAGTTCTGAAGTCTGTAGCATTGTGTGCTTCTCAACAGGCTTCCTTTAGCAGTTGCTCTTTAGGAACTTTAATACAGTGTTGCTGACAAACTATATGCTGCATACTTACTCTAGTCGTGTCTGGAATTTCCTTCCCTGCCTTCCCCTCCCCCCTCCCCCCATCAAATATACTTGAATTCTTCCTGAAGCAACACCCAGAAAAGTCCCCCACCCCGACAGTTCAGACTCCTGAGCCGATTCGCAGATGCTTTTACTTTAGAGAGAGTTCTTTCAAGGCCACTCAGTCATTCCTTACAAATGCCTGGGATGAAAGATGGTTGTTATTCTCATCAGCTCCTTATCTCCAATTTGCTTTTGCTGCATTAGCACTGTGATAGCCGAGGGTGGGGAACAGTGGCTGGTCAGTTAGGAACACCTCATGGCTGCAGTTCAGTACTGAATACTATTTTGGAATCAAAGACTTGAGTGTCATGTGATTTCCTACTTGTCTCATACTCGTTGCCCTAAGAACAGAGGTCATGTGTGAAATTTGGTTTCAGAAACTCTGACCTATTCCTCGGTCGTGGATTGCCTGGCCATTAAAGCAGGAAGTGCTGCCTTAATAATGCAGTGGGAAAATGACAGTGGGGACAGACAAAACAGGAAGAAAGACTGCAGTAGGAAGTACTTGGGCATCTTGAACCGAGTGGGAGATGTGGGAGTTGTGTACCTGCACTGAATTTCAGAGACACCTATATGTCATTTATCACCAATTCAGCAAAAACATGAGGAGGAGAGATTAAAAGCTTTCTTCAGATTTGGATAGAGGAAATGTTTAACAAATAGACACTTCCAGTAAGGCTGGTAAAGAAACCATGATAATCCAAGGAAAGGGGAACAAGGGATAAAACAGGAATAATCAGGCTAATGAATCTCTGAAGTTTAAAGGCAGAAGATTGAAGAAAATTATTAGCTGGACCATTATTGAAAATTAAGCCTCTGTGTGTAGCAAAATCAAGGAAACACAGTATTTTAAAGCTAATTACAACTCCTGAGAGCTCTAAATATTATTCTAAGCTAAAAATAACTGTGTGATGATGCGGTCGATGCCTATCCAAGTTTTAGGGTTTGAAAAACAAACTGCTTATGATCTCTTCTGGCCACTAGCCTGGCAAACATATGGAATACAAATGGAGCAAGATTGGGTTTTTTTTCTGTGGTTTACATACAAACTCACTTGCAGAAGCAGCAGGCAAAGCCAAGAGTAGAAAACTGGCCAAAAGAAGAGCATGTTCAGTTCTGCAGCATGGCTGGTTTAAAAGAAAAGCTGCTACCAACCGAGAGGCTGAGCTAGAAGGCTCATCAGGTATGTGGAAACACTGAAAATTATTAGTTTTTCAAGCAGAGGCTCTTCAAAGTTTGGGTTTTTTTCTAAATGAAGAAATGTCTCCAATACCAGTGCTGAACCTCTTCCAAGTGTGAATTTAAAAATGTTTTTCTTGTAAAATGCCATTCTTTCTTTGATGTGACCAGTGAATTCCGCTGTGACCTGCAAATTAAAAATTTTCTATTAGCTGCACTTTAAATACATTCTTCTCTCTGAAGCATGCCAATGAAAATGCTGTCCTGAGTACAAAACAGAGCAGTGTACTCAAAGTCATTATTCAACCTACTTGACAACAGAAGCACTCAGCTTCTGTGAGCTGGAATGTATTAGAAGGGGGAAAAAAAAAATCCATGAATTACGC